GCCCCGAGGGATAAAGAAAACTCGGTCGCTCTTATCGCCACCGAGAATTCGTCCTCTTTCGCACTGGATTGCCCAAGTATAATATAATCCTCGCCGACGTCGTTATAAATCACATCAGGAAACGAATCTGTGAGTAAGCTCCTTTTGCTTATAGTCGCATCTAGTTCGCTTTATATAATACATTTGTTAATACTTATTTATAAAAGGAAACACGAGACATGTTCTTTTCCATTATGAAAAATTACTATATATATATATATATAATTTCACCGAGATATTTATGACTTTCTATCATATTTAATACGTTTCGAATGATTTTGAAATAATTTTTGTATAAAATTTTTTTTTTGATATTCATTTCTCAAAATGTATCTCTTTAGTTTAATTAGAAAAGAAGGGTATGCGTTTCTGTGAAGAATATTGTTGATCAAGCGCCTAATTAGCATACAATTAGAGATGGTACATACAACACGCATTCATAGGAATATATATATATATATATGAAAGCTACTTGAAAATCGTGGCGCGTAACGACGTGACTACCGGGGCTTCACCCTCTATTTCTCTTTGTCTCTCTGAAAACTCATCCGCTAAACCTATGTCTATAAATTTGAGTAGAAAGAAAAAAAAAATGCCACATTTAAAAGCTAAATTGTTTAAACCGGAAATGTAGAAATGCAAATCTGCAATTTTATATCAAAGTGCAAGTTAGTTTAATATAATGTCTTTCTCATTTATTTTTTGTATCAAAAAAAGAAATTTTATACATATAGGAAGTGAGACAATTTAAAAAAAAGCTCACGTATTTTTTTTTTAGTAATTCGTGTAGTGATTTCAGAATTTCAAGGACACGGTCAGAAGGACAATTTTTTTTTGTCGCTTCGAAAAAAACGACGTCTATTTTGTGTTGTATCTTATCGTTTAGATAGGAATTTATTTGAGTACAACGAGAAAGGAAATTAATTTAGTTTTTTGTATTTTTTATTTGAAAAACATAATTTCTTAAAAATATTTTTAAAAATTCTATTTAAGGTTAAATTTACTTGTGTGCTAAAGGAATGATTCATGTTTGAAAGGTGTGTAGGCTTTATTGTTTTCATATTATAAAAGGGTTTAGCCTTGTCTGATGTTTTTTTAATAAAAAAAAAAAGAGAGGTTTAACACTTGCTCGATATTTGATCTTTACTTACGATAGATATCTGTATCCGTCACTCAAGATTCTTGAGGAAGGGTATATATATTTTCTGAGTCAGCACAATCATCGCTTCGTTGCACAAAAATAGTTTTAGTTAAAAACATTGTTTAATGTATATCGAGTTTGTGGTATCGAATGTCAAATACATTAATATGCACACGGGGTTTTCTGTCTCACCATACTCTGGCATATTTAACCACTAACATTGCTGCTGTGTGTAATTAAGAATCCTATACAGACTCCGTTTTTTTAGTATTTTTTAAAAATTTATATTCTCAGTAAAATATTTAAAAGATTTTTGTAATTTTTAGTTTTAATTATGTTAGTTAATAATTGTGAATAAAAAAAAGGAAATAAAAATTTGGAAAAAAATATATTTACACGTAAGCATTAAAAAATGGTTGAGGTATTTTGTTATTTGAATACACACCAGACATATAAGATTGCTTTCTGGAATTGATTATCATAAGCATAAAATTTTTATGGCCCAAAATAATGAGTGTTAATTTTATTATTATTATTATTATTGCAAGGACGATCAAAAATTCCAACAAATTTATATGCAACTATACATGTCACTGTCTATATATATAAAAGTATTCTAAAATTTTTTAAATGAAAAGTGAAAAATTTATTTAAATTTTCTAATTTTAGATTGTAAATCTAAATCTCATTTTCACTTTAGTTCCATTTCTCGAAATGGCACACAATTTACAATAATTTCAAACAAGTTTTGATAGTTGTTTAGCAATAAAATAGAATTTTTATTTTCCTATAGACGCACACACTCATTTGTAATCTAATATTGCATGAAGGAAGATAGAGGTGAAATTATCATGAAAGTAGGCTAAAAAAAAAAGAACTGTAAAAATGTTACGGACCACTTAGAACCTTTTTGCAAAAGTATTTACGATGTGTATCATAAATGTCAGAGCAATGTGACCGTTATATTAGCGCACTCGTAACTTGTTATAATACTTGGATCTCAAGTTTCCGCCATTTGACCCAATCGCTGATTAATAATATTGGTCACGATTTGTAATAAACAAAAAAAAAAATTTAATAATTTTTAACAAGAAAAAAAAGCTAATGTATCTACATATATCTATGAAAAAAACAAAGTCGTTCATATACGAAATGAGATGAAAAATATTTTTTATTATTTATTTTTTTAATTATATAGCATTTTATTTTCTCTCAATGATGATAATAATCTAAATTAAGATAAAATTTTATAACTTTTCTGAATCGCGAAAAAAAAAAATTTTCGTATCAAAGTAATAAAAATCATTAAAAACCAGTTTTTTTTTTTTGATAATAATTTTTAGTCGAGATGATATTTTTTCGAGATTCGTGGGAATAGCCTTCATTGGGGAAAAAAAAAACAATTTTTACAACACACACAAAAATAATAATTATCGAGGAGACTCGGAAGTCCTGAATTTAGTGGACATGCGAAGGTTAGTTAGATAACTTTGCCCATCGGCGCTCACACTCGTTTGATTTTTTTTTTTTCTTATTTTGTATCCTTTCAACCTGCTTGATGTTTTTTTTTCTGTTTTCCTCTTTTTTTCGATCCTTCGTCCACACTATAACGCGTCCCAATAATAATGCACACAGAGAGCCCAGTGCAAAACCGGTTACGGAATATAAATTTCACTATAAAATATTTTTAACACCGCCCCGCATCAGCCCCTGGGGCCTCTTAAATTTTTCTCCAATGCTAGCATAAACGCGTGCCTAGCATTTCGATATATTACGCTTCAAACTGCTCCTCTTACTATTCGCATCATAAAAAAAAAACAGAATTCTCATCTCGAAGGACGTATATCGATATAAAACAAGTTTTGAGCGACCTCATATATAGTTTCTAAAAATACTTCTATCCACAATTTTCAGACCTACGGTTGTTATTAAAAAAAAAAACTTTGCTAAATTAAAAAAAATATTTGACACAAAGAAAGTATTTAAGTCAAATTATTTTTCGTGTTATTATTATTATTAAAAAAAAAAATTATTAAATGCTATTTTTATTTATAATTTTTTATTAGCCATATCGAAATAAATTTTGACTAAAAAATTAATAGCTGTGACGATGAGTGATTGACGTTTCTGAAAATTGAGAGCACTTGTCCCTCTCAATATTTCTTTTTCTTTAATGGCTGGATCACTTTCCTTTTTTGAGACTCAGAAAAAAATATAGTAAAGTGCAAGAGTTTAAATTAGGTTTTCTTTTTGATAAAAAAAAAGAGCTTTTCTTTTGGAACTGTTGACTCACACTTTTATTTTATTATTTTTTACACACGACTTAGTCAGATTGACAGATGAATTTTTTTTTTTATTAACATAGCATCTGTTGGTAATAATAAAAAGCAGTTAAGTAAATTACATAAGAACGCATAAAAAGCGAAATTGTGTGTGTGTGTTTTTTTTTCATTCTCGCTTTCGATTTCGTCATGTTATATATTCTTTAGGACCATTCGTGCATAATGTTTTTGTGACCCCGGACTGTCATTGCCTAAAATAACTAATGCGGGTAACGATAAAGCTGAAATACCAAGGTGAAGGTCAATTCCACTACTCCGCCGCTCCACCACGCTTGACACAATAATACTGTGGTTAGGAATAAATTGCGTTTCGCGCTCTCCTTTCTCTCTCTCTTTCTTCTTCACTTCTTTGATTAACTGTTAATAATATAGATAGTTAATTAATAATGAAAAAAATAATAATATATTTATTTGAATGTAGAAGATTAATATTTTCATTTTCAAATTTGTTTTGCGGATGCACGTGTGTATCACTTGAAAACCAATTAAGAATTTTTTTTTTTTATCGTCTATTTATAACTCTCGATTGAAATAAACAGCTTTTATCATTTGACAAGTGCTCTAGTCGAAATATTTTATGTATGTGAAATCTTGAAAGAAATTTAATTATTTTTTTTCTGTCTCTTTTTTTTTCGTTGAACTTTTTTCTTTTTAATAATTTATTTTTTTTGTAAGATTAAATCAGGATTTTTGTAAAATTATAATTTTTATTAAGTATTTGTTTATGTTAGATAAAAGTCTCTCATCGTGACGTAAAATTTTGAAACAAAAAAATATGAATTTTTCGGTGATTTTTATTTACATCCGCGGGAATATTGCGTCAAAATAAATTGACTCTATTAAGAGTTCTTTGAAATTTGAGAAGAATAGACTTATTCTTATATATATGTATGCTTAAAGCATCAAAAATCTCGAATTTCACAATATATTCAAGAACTCGAATGGAATCTATTATAATTTTGTTTCACTCAATTTCGAGGTTGAAAAAAATAATTAAGAAATGTATGTTTTAAATTTCAATGTCACATAAAAAAAAAAAATTAGAAAATTAGAAAAAAATGGAATAAATATAAATTATTTTATATATTTAAAAAATATACTCTTTTTTTCTAGGAAGAAAAGAAAACATTAAAATTTTGAAAGAATTTATTATTAAAGAAGATGAAAAGTTTTAAGTTTCTTTTTAAAGGCTATTTGTACAACTCTTGGAAAATTAAATTACAGAATAAATTATGTTTCTAAATTTAGAATAGAATTTTTTTTTTGTGACATTATTTTTATTTAAAGAATACTTAAACACTTTTCAATACTGAATTTTAATAAGTATATATATATATATATATAAATAACATTAGCAGACATTAAAGCTTTTCACATTGTCAATATGAATAAGATGTTATAGTGAATATGTAATTAATGAAATCTTGTATGACATAAAAATTTATTCTTTTTTTATGTAAAAAAAATATTGTTTGCAGACAAAGCTGCGGAGCAAATGGCATCTTTTCTCGTCGTCTGGACTTCAGTGCATTCAACAGCTTGCCGAGGACCAAATTGAACTCCTATCACATTAAGGTAACATTTTTTTTTTTTTTTTTTCAACAAACTTTGAATGGAAAATTTTTATTTTTAACTTCTCGAGCTTTTTTTTTTGTCGGAGGGTGAATTTATCGTAATGAATAATGCGTGCAAAAATATCGTGTGTTCTATATTGTGACCTTCCCCAATAGTAATTAATCATATAGGTTATTTCTTTGTTGGAATCAGAAAATCGAAAAATTTGCAATAATACACGCAGAAAGGTCGGCGATCTTTAATCACGCGAAACTCGATTAATTCATATATATGGATTTTTGTCAATGAACATATATAGCAGTCTTTTTCTTATAATTAATGATTGCGCAATAACTACACTTTGTTGCGCCGGACATGTAATTATCGTGTGTACCTATATTACGCGTGGGACCAATGAGAGTCACACAAAGTGAACTCATTCGACTTTTATATTTCCACTGGGATTTAAATAACATATTTCAAATGCCACTCTCCCTGCCTTTAATATGTAAAAGAAATAAGCGAGATTTAAAAAAAAAAAATCTTACAAACGTTAATCATCGTTCACATGCATGAGTAAGCAATGATCATTTTTAATGATATAATCTATTTATATATGTTCTATATATTTCTTGTTTCACTGCATCGTGTACAACAAATTTTACGAAATTAGCATTTCATGTTGATTTTCATATTTAATTTTCTTCATTTTTTGATATAGCAGGTTAATTTAAATTACAAATTTTTTTAATTTGGGTTTAATATTTAATCAGTTGGAATTGAAAAATAGTTTCGTTTATTTTTCTTATATATATATATATATATATATGATAAATGATGATATTGAAGGACCTTGATTTTTTTTCGTTTCCTTTAATAAGTTAATCAAATTTTTTTGTTTTTCTTTGTTTGGAGTGAGACTTTAATTATTGTATGTATCGAAAGTAATATTTCTTTCAAAGTTCGCGGACCATTTTGCATTAAAATCTCGATTAAAATTAAAAATATCAAAGAATAATATTTATTGAAAAATTATATAATTTCAAAGAATTTTAAATGTGTTGAAGTGATTTTGGAATTATTTTTATAATTGCGTTTGTTTACATTGAAGTACAAAGGGTATAACCTCAGGTAGAAAGACATAAACAATGCGCGGTTTGAAAATTCCCAAAGATCATTAAATCAGTTGCAATTCGTGTATAAACCTGTTTAAACGTGAGTTTATAAATTTACATTTATAGTAAATAATTTCGGTAGTGCTCGATTCATATTTTGCTATTTTAATAAATTTTTTGTATTCGAGAGTGTTGGAAATTCTTAAAATCGCAATCGTTTAAATTTTCACTGCCAAAAGAAGCATCTTATTTTAAGATGTTTTGGTAGCGTTTTTAAGACATTAAGATGTTTAAGATATCTTGTGCGCGATTCGTTTTTTGCCATTTTAGTAATTTTTTTTGTCCCGGGAGTGTTCGAAATTCTTAAAATCGCGATCGCTTAAATATTTAGAAAAAGTCTTTTGTTTTAGACTAAGGTTCGAGTTTTTTTTTTTTTTAAGAATTATTTTTCCAGTAGAAAATTTTTCATTACATTTTTTACAAAAAGAATGGGAAGTTTATTTTAAAGTTTTTTCCGTGGATTTCTAATAAATGAAGATTAGGAAATATATATAACATTAAATTAAAAAGAATCAAATTACTCGTGAATCATTTTTGGGTTCCGTTGAGACATATTTTATTATGAAATCCAATTTCCCAGTTAGGTATGGTTAGTTAATTGACAGCGACGACGTCCATCAGTCGATGTTCGAAAAACTGCGCAATAACTTATCGTACCTTTTAATCCTTTATCGTGAATGAAGCGTAAAATAAAATATGTTATTTTTTTTTGTTTAAAATTGTATGAAATAATTTATAAGTTTAAAAATGTATTTTGGCTTTTCTGGTTAATTACATGAATTATTTTGTAACAATTTACTTTTTTAAATTTTATCATATATATATATATATATATATATATATTTGTTTATAAAAAAGTATTTTTTTTTATTAATATCAATGGTATATTGTAGAATGAAAATTTGGGCAATAAACATTTAGCATATGGGGCTGAAGGTATTTTGCGTAAAGCAACGTAATAGTAACGTTCTACCCTAAATACGAGAAAATCAATACCAACCCCATGTAGTTGCTCTGCATCGAACTGATATATAGTTTCTTGCTGACCCCTTAAGCATTAAATCCCTTTCCCCCCATTTTTGCCCCCTTAAAACACATATATATATATTCGAAACATAAATTGCAAATGTTGCACTATTTTATTATCAAATTAAATTTTTAATGTCTTACTTCGTGATTATAAATCACACTTTTATTATTATTTCTCTTCAATATTTTTTGTTAGGTTTATATTTCCATTTTACAATGTATTTAAAAGAAAATTGGATAATCAAATTCTTTATAATACAATTGGAATATTGTGTTACTGTTGATTTTGTTTAAAATTTAATTCAATATCGAAAGGTATTCTGAATTTGCAAAAACTGCATTTAAATTATTCTCTCTGGTGTTAATAAGCGATTTTTTTTTAATTTGTCGTCGTGCATTTTAATTAGAGCAATGAGGGAAAAATCACGTTTTGTTTTTTAGTTCTCTTTTTTAACTATCAATATATGTATATATATATATAGTGAATGTTGATGCAGATTGAGAACGAAAGATAAAAATGCTTTTTTCTGATTTTTCTCTTTTCAACCCTTGGTAAATTCCAACCCTTTGAGCTCCCCAATGCATCATGACAACGTAGCTGAGTGGACTATAGAGTGTATATACGCACTTCCAAGAGGGGTTGAGTTCTCTCTCACTCTCTCATTGGACCCTATTCGCAACTGCGAATTGCAAAATGCAAGGGTTGCCTTTTGCGCAGTGAATAACGATGCAGCCCTTGTACCATATAAAGCAGCGCCCCAAAGTTCTGTTCTCTTGCGTATATACCAAAGATTGACGTCGTGAATTGAATATCAAGTTCGCTTTTTTCCTCGTAGATTATATTTACTGCACTTTTCATTTGGAAAATAACTGGTTTTTTAGGTTAAAATTATTTTGAAAGCGGTATAGTTTTACTAAAAAATATTGATTTTTGAATATTATTATCCTTAGGCGCTGTTATAGCTCAGTTGGTTAGAACTCTGTACTATAGTAAAAGTGAGCGGTTTCGAGTCCAGTCGATTATGAAATTTTTCTGTTTTCTAAATAAAATAAAAATATTCTTCAGGGGCTAATTAAGTTAATAATTTAATTATTAATTTAATATTAAATAATTGATTAATTATTAATTAATTAATGATATTAATATTAAATTAATAATTAAATTAATAACTTACTCATAATGTCAGTTACTATTAGGAACAATGTGAAAAATTTGTTAAACGAGTTTTGTAATAGAAAAAAAAATCTTTAACTTTCACTATACAATGTTTAGAATCGAGAATTCGAAAAGGGTTTACTGTAAGATTAATTAAAATCAGAGTTTGGATTCCATAAAAATTGTAAAAGGACGATGAAAGAGAGCTTTCTCTTTTAATTCAATGGACCTGATGAGTTGTGAACTCGCGAGACAACTTTGCGGAATAAAAAAATTGTCCTTACCTGTCGTGTGTGAGAACGAATAGTCGTTGATTTCCAATGAGTTTGTCTCTTTTGATGTATTATATCCAGGACTTGTGTGTGGACCATACTTGAAACTATATATATAGAAAATGCTACAGGAAATTTATTGCTTTCGTGTTATTTTTTTTTTTTTTTTGCCACAGAATCTCGCAAACTTTGCGACAAAGAGACGGGATTATTTCACCGTTTCTGTTGGTAATTATAGCTAAAGAGGAAGTTTACCTTTTCTCTCATCGTGAGAACTACTGTAGCTGACGATGAGAGAGAGATGATGAGAAAACGATTTGTTTCATTCAAAACAACTTGTGTTTCATACCTTGTCTCTGATTGAAGTACATTCCTCGGTATTACGTTATAATAGGTACAATTAATAATAGAATATTAATATAATATAATAGAAAAAAATTATAATATATTATTATTATAATAATTATTATTATTATTGTTATTAATTAGTTAGTATTTAATTTTTTATTTAATAAAAATAGTAATAAAATAATAATATAAAGAGATTAATGAAATGTTATATTCTTTGGAACAAAGGAAGGATTAAAGAAATTTTCGATGGGTCTGCAGTGTTAATTAAATTCTGAAATTGTTTTCAAAGCAATATGGTGAAATTTCTGTCCAAGTTTGAAATTTCATTTATGCCTCTCGTAAAGAAATTACGATTATGGGTTTGTGAGGATCAAAGTGGCTTTTCACGTTCTGGATATTAAAATTTGGGATGATTTCGCATATATATCTCTTACTCCTTTCGAGATTTATTCCTCTCTTTAACCTTAAAGAAGCGTGTTTAATAAAAATTCTTCTATTATAATTTTCCCATATGATTTATGAGAAATTGAAAAAAAAATAAAATTAGAAATTAAATTAATGACAGACCTGTGTTCAAAAAGAGGTTCATATAAAATAAAAAGCACTGTGGGTTGAGAATTATAAATTATATTCTCGTTGAACAGTCTCGATATATGGCGATTAAGTCACTCTCTCTCTATCTCTCTCTCTCTTTCTCTCTCCGAGCATTCAACTTTCTTGCAAAGTAATATTTTACCCTTCTTCTGTTCTTTAACGCCTACAATGGAGCTTTACATTAAACGTCATTAGCTTAAACGTTCACCTTCCTGTTACATAATGGGCCGCGTTAAGCATATATATATATACTTGCAAGAGAGCAAATGTATGCTCTCGCATAATTGATTCGTTTCGAAGAATACACATACTATTATTAATTTAAAATATTCGTGAATTTAAAAATTTCTAAATATCAAAATTTATCGTCAATCAAAACATTCATTATATTAATAGAATTAAATTTTTATTAATTAATAAACCATTATTAAATTTTTTATTACA